GTTGCGTTCGAAGTGTCGTTTTCCAATACTGGCGAGCTTTCATCGGAAATAGGCTTAGCGGTTTGNGGTTCATCTTGTTCAGAAGACGAAGTCTCATTTCTGAATGTGACGAGTCTGTTAGACCAGAAACGAAGACGAGACATTTGAGTGATTCGCTGTCGACATCCTTCATGCAAGCCTCCTCGAACTTCTTCTTAATTGTGTTGCCAAAGTCACGGTATGGTATGTGTGTTCCGGACATTGGAGGGCAAGAAGATTGCAGGAACTCAAATCGTCGACGGATCAAAGTTTTCTTCGGTCCAAATAGTTTTGCTAGTGTCTCGACAGTAGTGGGTAAATCAATGTCTCGCGGCTTCAGCGGCAAAACGTGTTCCGAATAAGTTTTGTATGTTGCCTTATCCAGCTTATCAATGATGAGGTTTCGCTTACGGTCATCGGGAAGTGAAGATCCTCTATCGTCGATTACTGGTCCATAGCGCTTGTACCATGCATCGAACGTGGAATCGTCGTCTTCATCGTAGTTGAAGTACGGCAGGTCCCGCATAAGGTCGCCGTACGCATCAGGAGACTGTTGTTTCGTGGGTGCTTGCTCCGGTCCTAGTTTCTGATCCACAAGCACAGTTAGCAGTTGATGCATCTGCCGTTGAAGTGCCTGGTTTTGCTCTTGAAAAACAGCAAGAAACTGAGTAACCCACGGTGGTACATCCTTCGATGCAGCTGGGGCGTCGCTTGGCACGTCGTGATTCTTCGGCATCCTGATCGCCAGTGTTACAGCTCCGAAGACGAAGTGCTTTATTGAGCACGAGACGACAATTAAATTATGCACACCGTAGAATTAGGCTTTTATAGTCGAGTGTCGCACATCAGTTACTAACAGTGTGATTGCATAGATAGTATAGTTTATCACTAGTCAAGCCCATGAGGGTTAGCAAACGACCGTTGAGCGGTCATCTACAACAATGTGGCCACTGGCAAGAGCCCATCCCTCTGGTAAACTTGCTTATCAGTTTCTATTCTGGGTGGCCCCGTGGTGCTCTCTGCTTCGCCCTCGGGCATTCAAACACAAATGAAATTCCGTGGAGAACTGAAGGCTGAGGGTGCCAATAAAGAGTGTCACTACTGCCATGGTCAGCTCCGTTGCTTTTGATTGCCCTTTGAGACTTTCTTCTTTAATTTGAAAAGGTGACATGAAAACGCTGTGAAACGCAAGTGCAGAGTGGAACCCGGTATTCCGAGCTCCGTTAACGAACGAAGATCAGCGAAGCCGCTGCTTACGCCAAGGATCCTAAATCAGGTGGGCCGGAACGTCATGCTATATTTGACGAACATTGGACCAGAGTTACTGACTGGATCACTCGGGACGTCAAAGGAACACATGTACGGCCGCTGACGCGATGTCAGACTTCTTCTCGGAGCTTTGAACGAATGGAACGCTGCTTCTGGTGTCTCTCCAGCGAGAACGATCGACTGAACTACTCAGGCTCGCGACAGGGACGAATGGCACCCGCAAGAGCGAGTCGATTATCATTGGGATGTCAGGATATAGATTACGCAAAAACAGCTTACAAAAAATACGACTTTCACAATCCAACCAATGGGATTCAGCCACTTTGACTTGATTATATGGTCCAACGATGGAAACAAACACAAGAGCAATTTCAAACTTCATACAATGAGTGAACACTAAAACAGTCAATAAAATCCCCATGTTCATTATGATTACGATCCCTACTTCACGATTACAAATACAATGAATAGCCCATGGTAAAAACTCAGGGCAGTTCTGCATAAATTGTGAATATAACGCATCTATTTGCAAAATAAAATATAAAATAAGTTTGCACCTATAGACATAAATAAACATAGATTGGTGGTCAAACGGTGCAAAATAAAGTCAAAAGCGTAACTAGGTGTATGAGAATCGATTCAGTGCAAAAGCAATTGTGATTGAAATCATGTCTACTAGAATATAACGAACCAGACTAGCAACCACTGAACAGAGAAGAAATAAGCAGGTGATAATCACAAGCAGTGATACAAGTGCCAATTGAGCTGACTTGAAAATGGCTTGTGGAATGTTTCTTAAAACAATACTCTCAGAAAAATTATTACTAATAAAATGAATTCTGATTGGACAAGTGGACAACGGAACGAACCTAGGCCACCACTCGACAGATCAAGACCAGACATAGTACTGCAGAATAGCCATTTGTAACGAAATAACGAAGTACGTGAGAAAAAAAAAACATAAGTGAGAGATCGGGTGCTTAAACTACCCAAAGCTCACTAATCCACACGTACAGTAGCGGCCTTTGAAGTATGCGTTTTCACTTTTTCAAGCGTAACTTCTTTAAAACAACACCTTTACATTTGGTTTCTACACTGCCAGAGAGCAAGTTTTCAGTTGCCCGACTTAATTATGGGATATTTTGAGACTTCAGTCAAAAAAAGGGTCAAGCACCAAAATATTAGTTAAACTTATCTGTCTCAATTTTCAATTTCTCAACGCAACAACATACTTAAGTGCAAATATAACAAGTATGACATCAATGCTCGGTAGCATAACCTTTGGAGTCAATGATGGCTTAAATCGGCGTGCATGGACTTGATGAGTTTGTCGACCTTCAGAGAATATCTCCCCATACAATCTTCAGTTGAAGAGCTTGTCGTGCTCGTTGCCCAGAGGCTTTTAATTTGACGCCCGAGCCAATCCTACGGATGTTCAGTAGGATTCAGATCTGGGAATAGCAACGGCTACGGTAGTAGATGAGCGAAATCAGTTGATGAGCAGCTTCGCTTTGTGCTTCGGGTCTTGGCCCCGCTGGAAAATTAAGACACCGGGACCAGTACTGCGAGTAAGCGGGTAGATAACAACCTCCATAATGTTGGTGCACATCTTTGAATCCATCTTACCCTCAACATCTCGGCACACTTCTTTGTCTCTGCTGCTGCGAAGCATCACCGTACCCTGCCATATTTCACGGTTGGCAGCTTGTAACTTGAATGGCATCTGGTACCGATTGGATGTCACCCAAAAAAGATTTCAACCGTGCCGGACACAAAGAACTTCGATTTGCCTCATGCCACTGCGGGATTACCTAATTTTCGTGAGCAGAGCTCAATCGTGAAGTGCTTTGCGATCTTGGCACAGATCAGCGGTTTCTTAACTGGACTTCGTCCAAACGGGCCGCCCTTTTTCAAAAGACGTCGAACAGAATAAACGGACATATCGGTCTCTCGGGAGTCGAGATTTCGCGAAGAATTTCGACGCAAGCCATTCCTTGCACGCTGAACAATGTTTCTGTCAACAAGACATAGGGTCATTCTCAGTGCCTCTTGGGGCTTTTGACTTGACTTTTGACTGACCCAGTGTTTCTTCCAAATCGTTTGCAGGCACATAACTGGCACGTCTTGAAGTTTGGAAATTCGCCTGGGTGTTAAGGCTTCCAGGAAGCTCCGAATGACGGCGTCAGCTTGATCTTGCCGTTACAGCCTCCCGAGTGCCTTGAAAGAGCCTTACTGATGTACAAAATGCATGATCTGACACAAAAAAGCGAGAATCACCTGGAAATCTTAACATAAAAACCCACGAATAATCGGCAAAAGTGTGCTTCGGAGGGCTGTTTGGAAATAAAGCGCCAGTTTAGGTTGGAAGTGTGCTGCTAGACCGCTGCACAAGTATAATGTCACTAACTGTTTGAGTTACCTACTGTTAAGGTTTCCCGCAGAAAAGTTGAAGTTGCGGAAGTTACGTTCAAAAACTGAAAACGCATACTTCACTGACCGGTACCGTATGCGTAAGCAGTAGCAGAATCATTCCCTCCATGGCTCAACGTAGCTTAAGGGGAAAAAACCGATCTGAACATTAAACATGAAACATAACCAACTACAAGGGGAGACTAAATCTTCAAAAAAAACCAACTCGATCAGCTATTTGACCTTTCCACCATCCACGATCTTCACCAATCACGTCAATAAGGGTCAAGCGATCACCTTTACGTAATGTAAGGAACTTCGGTTCAGTAGCATCAAAGTCATGGAGAACTCGGAAAAGCTGAAAATAGCACGAACAAGACTAGATCAGGGTAGTACCAAACCGACCTAAACTGAGCATTTTTACAACTGAAGGATCACAAGTCAAAGTGGCCATTTGAAATGGAACTTACAGTTACAGGCTGCCCCAGAATTATGGGCGCCAAAATTCAAAAACTCTTCAGACAGAAATAATTCATTAGCTCACTTCATTCTCTTTTGAATAGTTGCACAAGTAGGTTTTCTTGCAACATGCATAGTTACTAGAATGAGACTGCCAATGTCTTCTAAATCGTGAAAATTCATAATGTCACTTGCAATCATTCGCATGCAAGAGGCAGGTGGGAATATTGAATTTGATTGTGATTCCAAGTAATGACCGTACATAAGGCTATAAAAAATGCAGAAAAGCAGAATAAACCAAAGATCAACCCGGAAAGGGTAGAAACATTAGTGTTCACACAGATAGTACTACGAAATCAGTCCGTTTGCGAGCTTACCGTGATATGGTAACCCATCATAACCAAAACGGAAGACAAAGCAGCAGGACTTATCGAAATTGTATGGGGCGGATTGTCAAGCAGAAGCTCCATTGCTGTTCCTATCGCATGAAGTAATTTCACTTCATTTCTAATCGCAAGTAGCAGTGTAGGACGTAGAAATGCCAAAATATCGAGAGTGCAATCTCTCGCAAAAAAGTTGCCATAAGAACTGCAAAATGATGTCACGTAGATGACGTATTACGTACTGGAGCACAGATCCTCAAGAACAACTGGGAAGAAACGGAGGGGGAATGACTGCCTGCAACATGCGAGGAGCTCGGGAAAAGACTTTGGCCTCTTTCTGTGCCGATGGTAGATGTTTTGAAATGGTATTGAAGTCTGTTGTTGCGAATAATGCCAACATCAAGCTAGAAGCCTAAAATGCACTGCAATGGAATAGTGCCTATAATTTTGAGACACCCTGTACATTGCAGGACGTATTCCTGCGTTCTAATCTCGAATCTGCGTTCCAAATTTGCTAGACGATTTTTGAACGAAGTTATGAAGGTGGTTTCAAATAAGCGCTCAATATGAAAAAGCACTTATGACACGGAACTGCGCTTACAGTGGTGACTTGGAGCAGTTGTAGCACGCTTCTCGTGCATTTTCACTTTTGCATCCTTTTTAGCATTTGCGAGGCTTCATCCTAGAAGATTGAAAGTCTTTGTATGATGATTTTACCCTCGTTGGCGGCCTTTTTGATGCCTGGGATGATTCAGTTCCCAACCGTACAATCTCGCTACTAATTCATTGCTTATCCACCCAACCACTTACTCTTTGGAATCTCAGCAGGAAATGCACCCACCGCAATTTTAAAAATCAAGAAGCTCGAAGAGAGCTACAAAATGCGCTTCGTTCCGCACCGCCGTCGAAACCAGGCAATGCCGCAGGCGTCCCAGCCTGCGATTCTTGACGGACCTCGCAGTTGTCACTGGGGCATACAAGAATAGTGCAGCCAGGTTAAGGAGAAGATAACACAGATTAGCGCAAAGTGCATTCCCTTCACTGACACCTAGTGGTACTTTTATGACACCCCGAGATCGCAGAGGGCCACGTCGAACGCAAAGTGGGAGAGGAGATATAGCTTCGACGAACGGCGGAACGGACGTTCCCCGAGTCATAAAAGTCCTGCTAGCGTTATGACTTGCTGTTTCCGTCGATGACTACTTAATAATATTTAGTTCAGAAAGCATTTGTGCGCATCCTGACTATTGAAAAATATACTGTGTCACTCTAAGTTCCTTAGCTCGATTTGAAGAATTTACTGGCGAGATTCCAAAGCAGGAATTATTCTTTCTCTGGAATTTGGAGGTATGAGTGAGTAAAACGCACATGATGCAACGCACGGGCATCAATGTTGCTCTGTAGATTCTTGGTCATTTCTCAAGTCATATAGCTAGCAAGTCTGCTCTACCTTCGAAAAAGCAACTGGTGATGAACGTCCATCTAGTACTACAAATCTAATACAACCACTAACATTTATTTCTACTTGTCGTTCAATTATATGTTTGGAATGTCACCACATACGTAAAAGTTCAGATTTCACCTTGCGTATGCACACGCGCGACACTTTTCTCCGGCCACCTTTACTTGTCCACCTTAAATTGCGTACCTTTGAATTTAGAAGGCCTTTTTTTCTAACATGATGCTGGTTTCCTAAGCACTCATCCAGATGATACGGAGATGCCTACTACGTTGCTTCCCGTTCGGTCTACTAAATGAAACGGCCAGTGGCAAATTCCTCTCCTTTCGTTGACCCCATAGTTGGAAAGATTTGCTTCAAATATTTTGACTTGGTTTATTGGATCTGCTTATACATTTATTATAGTTATCATACTATCATAATGTACAGTGCATGAGAAGAGCAGAGGAACTGTGACCATAACGGATGGTACGGGTGAACTGAATCACTTCAGGCATCAAAAAGACCGCTGAGGCGATAAACGTGCAAAGGTTCTCCCGCCCCCTAGAAAAAACTCCATAGAATGCACAAAGGATTTCCCTGACTTAGCCCAATCTACGGTTCTACTCAAATCAAGCAATTGGCTAACCATAGCTCCAAGTCAACGTTGTGAGCGCACTTACCTAAATGTCTTGAGTGTTTCCTCTCATCGAGCACTCACCTGAAACCACCTTCATGACTTTGTTCAGAGAATCGCTTGGCAAATTTGCGATGCAGATCCGAAATTGGCACCCGGAATAAGCCTAGCACTGCAAGTGTCATAGCAAATGGCCTCCTCGACTTACAAGGGAAGGATACTGTGTGTCGCAGTGGCCATTCAAGATGAGATGTAGCTAAACAATTCTGGGAAAAAAGTTACGGGACCAGTTCCTCCCTGTGTTATACCACTGCACTTAACGGATCACCAAGCCGAGCAAAGCCCTTATCTGTGCAACCGTGGCTTAGCGGGTAGTGTGGTGGACTGGTGGGCATGACATCAGGGTCCGATTTCTTGATGCATGAGCTCGTTTTGCTTTTCTATAAAACGAGTCCTAAACACTCGCTAAACGTTTTTGGGCTCAATGTTGAACATCTACGGAGCTACCTCACATTTTAGGAACACTGGGAAGGTATTACAGGAATTTTTTTTGCCCCTCATCGGCCCAATAAGGTTCGAGCTCACTCGAACAAAAGAGGAATTCTAAACAATCGCTCAAAATGGGTTTCAGAGGCTCCAAGGAGGTTGGTTCCAAATGATTCATCGCATCAAACGCTCTTCAGCATGTTACCACTGAAATATTCTGGCCGAAGTGGTCCCATCGCATTTGATTGAGGACTTCCGTTCTTGCAGCGTAACGCGGGCGCCACCTAGGAAGAAGCGGTAATAAAGAGCTCTTGAAAAGCACTACTCGATGCTATGAGAACAATCCCGTTATCCACTGCGAGAAGTCGAGTCCGTGAAAGGCAGTCACAATGATCCTCCGCGGTCGCCTGATGATGACAGCGACGATGGATCTGTAACTTCGCGAAAGAAACCTCGTACGTTTGTGGGAAAGTGAGGTTCGGAAGTGAAACGTAGCCTTAAACTTTGTGAACCGGTCCATGAGCTCCAATTTTATGGCTGTGGTAGAAGAGTCCATAGCCTTCTACAGTTCGAGTGTCAAAAGCAGCCGCATGTCCTCGTACAAGAAAAAACACGTTTTGTATCATCACTACAGAGTGCCAAAATCAAGGGGCAGAGCTTTCGAATTATCTATTATTGACATCTTACGATGGTGTTAAATAAGGAGACCGATCCGCCTATCTATGGAGATCAGCGGGTAAGCTGGAAGGGTAGTTATCATAAAAATAAATGTAGGAGCCCCATTGCACGACAGTCATTTTCACTGGATATCGCTTCAAATAACAATGGAGCCCGTAGGGGGAAACTTCAAAGCAAGTCGTAGGTGGATTCAGGGTTTTGAGTACAGCCGTGGTATCATGCCCTACCGCACCACCACGTTTACCTTATGGAAGGGCTTCTTGAAAAGGCGTGCACCTCAAGAATTAATGGATAAGCATACGCGCACACAAAGCGATAAACTATTGTTCCACAGTATTTCCTCAACGATGCCAGTTAACCTGTACCACCGCTTCGAAAGCACGGACAGTATTAGTAGAATGTATGGACCGTATCCCTCAAGCGTTTAAGACACATTTCATGGAAAAGCAAGACGGGCGCATGCATCAAAGAATCGAGCCTCGATGTCATGCCTTCCAGTCCATCACACTAGCCGGGGTGTATGTCGTTTGGCGCGGCCCCTCGCACCAAACTTGCCATTGGGGCACATAGGCTCGTGATTGCCTCCTTGGCGCCGCCCATTCGACTTGGTATGTGAGCTGGGCAACTCATCCAGCTGATTCAACCTCCTGACAACGCTAGTCAGCCTACCCACTGCCCATCCAGCTGATAGACACCCGATCGATGACGCCGCTATAATTAGACGCCGGATTGACCTACCTGTATCCTGTCTATTTCTGCCGCATTCTTGGCTATTTTTTCGCCAAGTGAATACTGCTAAGTTACAATGGAGTGGAAGTATCGTGGTCGTTCTGGAGCCTGATACTTACCACTTCAAAATAATTTGCAGTACATATGTATGACGGACTGATTGTGTGGTGTCTTATTATTTCTTCTTTGACAAACATTTGTTTATCATAGTATTTGTTTCCATCATTTACTTTGTTGTCAGGCACATTATTAAATACATATCTCGTCTTTCCGGATACATATCTCGACATATATTTACAATACCCCCTCCTTCTTTGACAAAGTTCTAGTAATCGGCTAACTCTTCACTCTTTCTTTGAAACAAATAATATTTTCCTGTTCACGAAGTTTGACACAGGACTAACAGGGTATTGCAAAAGGAATTCAGTGTAAGTCTTTGCTTGCGCCTTCTTCTGGAAGTCTCGATCTTTTGCTCTCGTTCTTGAAAAAGAATATCCTATAAAGACTCAACTGTTGGGCAACCAATGCCTTGGGTGGTACTCACAAATGTTAACACCATTATCATACAGTAGCGCACAAAAGTATTCGGCCAGCTTCACCTTGCCGTAACCTTTTTCCCAGTGGAGCAAATCGCATGAAATTTTGATATGTTTAACTGAAGCATATTTGACACTACCTACACTATTTGACTGCAAAGCAGCAATGTCCACATGGCTAAAGGAAAGGCGTTTCAGACTATGCTGAAATCAAGTTTGTGACGTCTGCAGTTATTCGGACCCTATGTACATTTTTCTTCTCATCTGGGTTCGGCATTAGCGCACGCACACTTTAGACATATCAAAAAGGAAAGAGACTCCAGAAGGAACATCACCTGTATTTTCACTCGATTTTGAGTTCATGCTCTTTGGAATATCTGGAGCATGATCAGATTGCAGGTTAATAGTGGTAAATATTCACACTACACCCATGCTACACATATTGAAACTTCGCATGATTAGATCCAATAGGAAAGGAGTTACGACTGAAAAGTACGACTGAAAAAGCATTTCGTCGAATACTTTTGAGCGCTACTGTATGTCGTTATCAAGGGATCTTGTTCTTCACGAAGATATTATACCATTAGTTGGGAATTCAAAATTACTAGCGGTTGATTAACTTTTGTCGCAAATGATATCGACCAAAGAGGATCCCTTCTTCAGTTACAAACCTTTTGGGTAGCGGTCGTAATCTAATAGCAATGAATGAACAGAATTCTCTTCTGCTTATCGTAGTGCTTCTAATGAGGCCCTATCGCTGCACTTACCACTCACACAGCAAAGAAATAAGGAACAACTACACCTCATAGTAAACTTAATGCTAGCAATGCTATACTATAATCGGGACGTTTAGAATAAATTTAACATAACAAATGTTGTGAAGAAAGAAGAAATGGAAATTATGCCTGGAGTTTCGAAACACTTACCACACGGTAATCTGCATCAATGAAGTTAACGATAGAAATACATAAATATTATGCCAAACAAGTGTTTTTCTAAGAAAAAACAATAAAACACTCACCACACTATCAGTCCAGCAAACATGTGTACCGCAAATTACTTTAAAGTGGTAATTATCAGGCTCCAAAACGACCACGGTACTTCCACTCCATTGTAACTTAGCAGTATTCCCTTGAAAAGGGTTCAAAAATCTCGAGAGGCATAAAGGGGCGAAAAAATAGCCAAATTTGCGGTAGAAATAGACAGGATACAGGTGTCAATTTGGCGTCTAATTATAGCGGCGATATCGAGCGGGCGTCTATCAGCAGGATGGGCAGTGGGTAGGCCGACTAGCAATGTCAGGAGGTTGAATCAGCTGGACGAGTTACCCAGTTCACAAACCGAGCGGCGCCAAGAAGGCAATTATGAGACTATTTGCCCCAATTGCAAGTTGGGTGCGAGGGGCGCGCCAAACGACTACCTCCCCACTAGCCGCTAAGCCACCGTTTCACAGATAAGGGTTTTGCTCGGATTGGTGATAAGTTCAGTGCAGTGGTATAACACAGGGAGGAACTGGTCCCGTAACTTTGTTCCCAGAATCGTTTGGCAGATTTGGAATACAGATTTGAGATCAGCGTTTGGAACCACCTACGGCGGTATACATCTAATCTTGAATGGCTACTGCGACCAAATATCCTTCTCTTGTTAGAATCCTTCCTTCGTGAGATAAATAATATCAAACGAATATCACCGCCGAAAAGCTCATACAACTGCACGATAATTTAACACACTATTGACTGGGTATTTCCATCGTCTTTGATCAACAGTGGTCATATTCCTTTACATGTTGCCGATGTACTTCAATAAGGAAAAAGGAACAAAGAAATATCCCGAAAAAAACTTCAAAACTCGTTGATCGCGCCAAACCGAAGGACACGGTCGAAACAGCGACATATCAAGAAGAAAAAAAAAACAAAAAATCGAAATAAACCTTGCACGTCCGGTAAGCGCTCTTTAGAGTCGTGTTGAGAGAGTTGAAGCTTTCGCAGAGATTGTTCTCTCTGTAGTAGTTCACCAACTCCTAGACACTTACATTCATCTTCTTCGTAACGTCTACAAATCATCGGCCCAAGAACGTTTTCCCCGAGAATTCAATGGTTCGCGTTCACGAATGAGAACCCGACTGGAAGAAAACCCTAGTTCTCACCACTATGCTATGGAAAACGTATCCCTCGTCCAGATAATAGATACTGTTGTCCCTTTTCTCGACAACCGTATGTTTTACTTCGCCTTCATAACTGAAAATGAGGGCTATTAATAAGCACATAAAAAAGCTTGCAAAGACAAGTTTTCCAACACAGTAGGGAACAGTCAATTAGAAATCACTGAAATGAGCATGACAGAAGGAAAGAAATAGATACTCCCTCCATATGCGGCAAAATGGCCGTGCTTCTTTGGTATCATCATAGGAGTTAACTTCATCAAATCCTTACTAGTTTTGTTAGGAAGAGTAGCAATGGTTCTCAAATGCGTATCCGATCTACTTAATGAAATAAACAAAACAATAAGCAAGGGAGCGACAGGGTGTCCCAAAATTACCAAAATCGTGGGCGCCAATTCATGCAATTCATGACAATGTATCTAAAGCTCCTCAGCTGAGGATCTTTAGCAATGGAATCTATGCGCACGTTTGAAACATTACATACTACAACGTACTACAACCACATTTCAAATTATCTCCCATTCTTCGCACTCCTCGCATGTTGCACGCAGCCATCCTTCTCCATCTCTTCCAAGCCGTACTTGACTCTTGCTTTCTAGGACTTCAAACTGCGATCAAAAACACGTCAGGACTTCTTTTAACCAGGGACCGTAGAGGGGAGTTAAGTGAGCTAAGATTTGGAAAGCAGAATGGCCATTCTTCTTGGGTAATGAAGTCGGACAGCTTGCGCTGTCACCCTCCCGGGCGAAGCTGGCTTTGTGAGCAGGTTCACCGCCCCGCTGGGACTACCAGTCGCCTCAGGAAGCGGAGCCGGATCACTGCTTCATTATGTCCATCAGTGCGCTCTTTGAGTACAGGTCTTTGTTGATTTTCACAGAGGAACGGTTTTTCGTAAAAATTTCTAGCCAGAGAAAACAATGAAACGATGTTTCTTCACTGAAGAGGGTTAGCAACTTTCTGCATTCCGGGCCCTACACTGTATGTTGAGCTCGGGATGGCCATAACGCTTTTCCTTGACAATCCTCTCACCAACAACCTTGATAAGTTTCGCTACTTTGCCGTCTTTTTGACGGGTCATCCAAAATCACAACCGACTCGCGAACGAATCACTTTATTAGTTACGTCTTTAGAAATACTAACCTTTCTACCACTTCCTGGCTTGTCCGTGATTAGATCTTCTTCTCTATATCGTCAAATAGCCTTTTGTACGGACACTATAGGAATCTCAAGGAATTTCATAGTCCCCTTGCGCTTCTCGCATTACAAGTGCCATTAAATAAGCCTCGGCCATCTGATAGATATTGGGAGTTTCACTGCATAACAATGCATATTACAGGAAAACCTACCTGTGCAACTTACAGCGGGTGGAGTATATTTGGTCAATTACCTCGACCCTAAAAGTTTCTGAGCTTTTCTCCGAACTCTATCTGACCCATAATTTTGGGACACCCAGTATATATGTACACATGTATTTATTTATTTATTTATTTATTTATTTATTTATCTATATAAAAGCCACCGAATTGGTGAATTCGGTCAAAAAACCCTCGATACACCGAGGGGCCAGACATGACAAATAGATTTCAAGAAATCGGTAGACCATGTAACACATTGGAGAACTCGAGCCCCTATTCAATTGTATGCTACTTCTGCGCGGGTATATTACCAGATACAGCTCCGAGTATGCAGGCTCGGATGGTAATTAATTTGTGCCTACTAAGATGGTAATTAAAACTGATCCTCCCGCCAAGTCCATAAAACCTGCAGTGTACCTTATACTTATCACATAGCTGCGCCGGTTCCTGCTGTACCGTACGAGAAACGTTCCATTTGGCGTCCCTCGCAGTTTCGCTTCCGATTCAGATCGCTCCAAGTTCCCCATGTACCACGGTTGCAGACTGACCTCAGTGTTCACATAGTCTTGCTGAGGAGTTGATGTCATGCTGTAATTGATAATATAGCATTTTCACTTTTGAGATAAAATACCTTGAATTGATGATAAACTTCAAGGAAATAGACTGCACTTGATACAAGCAAACACTATTATGTCCACCGCAAATCAAGCATGCGCTTTCACAGTTTGAGTCTGCACTATTAATCAAGTATTACCAACAAGAGAACGTGAGAGATGAGACTGTTACTCCAAGGCACAGCTCATGATGAAAATGGTTTTTGAGAAGAGATCGTGCGGCATGGCAGAGAACCAAGAAGTTGCAATATTCGCACCGAGACGCACACGTTGCACGCAAGCAGCTTTTCGTAGCCAGTTGTGCGTAGTGGCATACACATTTGGAGAGTTCTTTCCAATACTATGATTACAATTATAATTATGACTATAACCTTGACACACCGAACACAATAGGCTTTAAAAATTTCATGATTATAATTATAATCATAATTATAATTATAATTATAATTATAATTATGATTATAATTATAATCATGAAATTTTTAAAGCCTATTGTGTTCGGTGTATCAAGGTTATTGGTAACCAAAATGATCAATAATCGAGCCAGTAAACACTATGATTCAGTGAAGATATCAAAGGCCAATTTCAAAAAGAATTCGTTGTAAATCACGCGGCTGTGTATGCCGCACGGAGACCACCTACCGATGATGACCACCGAGAGTAAAGAGAAAGAAGAGAGAGAAAGAGTCTGAGAAACAGAAAGGAATAGTAGTTGACAAGACTTGAACACTCACACGTCACCAATGACTTTCATGGGAAGAACCGTTGAGTCTTTACGATCAATATGCGAACCAACTGGGCTATCTAGAGGAGAAGTCATATCTTGCCCAAAGCTGGTCTGAAGTTTTGCAGACGATTATTCCAAAACCACATTTCGATTACTTATTACCATTACTGTTTAACAAAACACTGCCTCTTGACTTACTCTGACTCGGCGAACATGCTCACTATGGACTAGACCGGGATTTTGTCGATCATTCAGTAGGATCCCCTAAAATGTTGATAAAGTAATAAAGCTCCAGTAATATTTGTAGAAAAACTTGAGATCTGACCGTAAACATCCCATCCCCGTGATATTGAACTACTTCAATGGCGTCATCCTTATCAAATACCAAGAACCCGGGCTCGATTACGGATCGCGATAATGCGATCACTTGCTCACCAGGTGACACTATACAAAAAGATGTCTGTAATGACACATTTATCGAAGGTAAAAAGTTTAAAAACGTGGTACTTGGGAAAGTACTCGACAATGTAATCAATCATCGAATTTCTTTGAGCTGTCTAGATTTTCAAAATTACGTCTCTACTTGCATCTAAACTTACAAATAACAATAACAATAACAGAAAACGCGAACTGTTGTTTCTGAAGATACTTAAGGTTGTTTGAAAAGTTTCCACCGAGTTAAAGAATCGACTATGAAAGAAAATTCCTCATTTCGTTTGAGCACAGATCACGTGCCGAAACATACTAAACTCTGAGTTAAAGAACATGCATCGTGGCATGGACGCCTAATTGACCAAGGTTGGCTCTCGAAATAGCCTCGCTCGGGTAGGGCGTTCGGTTGATCCATAGTAACTGCTGGCTACTTGGTAGGAATTAAGAAAGGATTAAGTCATAAAATGGAACCAGCAAAAAGTCTTACTATGACTTAGAATGAAAGAAAAGAAAAAGAAGATCTTCACAACGACACTAATAAAACATGTTTTTGTTCTCATCTTCTTGACTACAGCAGTGTTAAGCAATAGCTTAAACTGTGTAAAATCAACGAGCTCATGAATCGAACCACGACGTAGAACAAATGAAGTAGTTCTAGCGAGGAATCCATTCAATGAAGTGTTTTACTTACAGTGGTGAGTTGCCATATACAACTCATCGATATTTCACTCTAAATACCCCGTAGTCCGTGTTGCAATAAGGCCATTCCAGTCGTGCAGGAGGACTGGCCTCCTTGCTTACAGGCAGTAGCACAAAATTGCGCGTCTCGTTCCTTGAACACTTTACTAAATTCCAAAAAACCACACGGGAAAACTGCATAGCAAAGTTGGGGA